CTTTTTTTGTAAAAAGTTCCAGTAATTAATTTTAAAGAAAAATGAATCCATGACTTAGAGGCTCAAAAACACCTAGATTGAAGCATTACATATTTCTGGTATCCTGGCGAGCGTTGGGGTGTCAAACTTGTGTAAGTCCACACACCATCTACACTTGAACAGTACACAAATAATACACAAATAACACACACATAAGAACATAAGAAAGAAGAAACACTGCAACAGGCCTACTGACCCATGCAGAGCAGGTCCATGTCCCCCCCCCCCCGGATTAGACCAATGACCCACCCAGTCTGGTCATCTCCACTCAAGGATAGAGCACTGCACCAGAACCAGCAGCACAAGCTAGTCAGATCCAACTCACACCCACTCATGCATTTATCTAACCTATTTTTAAAACTACACAACGTTTTAGCCTCAATAACTGTACTGGGGAGTTTGTTCCACTCATCCACAACTCTATTACCAAACCAGTACTTTCCTACATCCTTCCTGAATCTGAATTTTTCCAACATAAAACCATTGCTGTGAGTCCTGTCTTGGCTGGAAATTTTCAGCACACTATTTACATTTCCTTTATTTATTCCTGTTTTCCATTTATACACTTCAATCATATCCCCCTAATTCTACGCCTTTCGAGAGAGTGGAGATTCAGGGCCTTCAGTCTATCCTCACAGGGAAGATTTCTGATATAGGAGAGAGGAGCTTACGATGAGGTTTCGGTCTGACTTGGACCATTTATAAAGTCACACTAACAGAAAGGAGAGAAGAGGGCAGTATATATAGGCAGTAATAAGCTCCTCTCTCCTATGTGTGAGTCATTTGTATATTGTTCCAGTCACGGTATTGTGCATTTTTGTTATTTAGTACACAAATAACTGGCACATAGGAAAGAGGAGCTTACGACAACATTTCAGTCTGACTTGGACCATTGTGCAGGTTATTTGTGTATTGTTCCAGTCATGGTATTGTGCCTTTTTGACCTTTCTGGTGAACAGTAGCTTCTGTGCAGGAAGAATCTATACACTTGACCAGACATGGAGGGCCACTTGCAATATGACTGTAGAATCACGAACAACAAGTCTGATCAACCGAGCAGAAGAATTGTGAGTAATGAAGGACAACAGGTCAGAAGACTGAGTTATGCCTATGACAGGATGAGCTAACTGTAGGCTGGAAAGGCTTGAGTAGGCTCATCACACAGGGCAGCAAGTGGGGGTCTCATTCACCCTCAGGAAGATACAGTCCACTGCAGCTAAGTGCAGGAAAATGTAGACAGTGATAATCATTGCAGTATGCCAGTCTGCAGGCACAGCAAGCAGAGACAGTCTGGTACAGGAGGGCCCTGCTTATACAGCAGGTTAGGATCTGGGCTATTGTTGCAAAGTGAAAAATCGCTGTAAAGTGAAATTACGTGGAGTTTACCTGGAGATAGTTTCCGGGTTCAGAACGCCCGCAGCGGCCGGTCTGTAACGATGCCTCCATGGGAAATGCTGATCAACTAGCTGTTGCTGCTGGCTCACGCAAACCAACTATACGACCACAGCCCGATCAGGAACTGACTTTATGGTGCATTGTCCAGCGCCAGCTTGAAGACCTGCCAGGGTCTGTGGTAACCCCCTTATGTGTGCTGGGAAGCAGTTGAACAGCCTCGGGCCCCTGACACTTATTGTATGGTCTCTTAACGTGCTAGTGACACCCCTGCTTTTCATTGGGGGGATGTTGCATCGTCTGCCAAGTCTTTTGCTTTCGTAGTGAGTGATTTTCGTGTGCAAGTTCGGTACTAGTCCCTCTAGGACCCCCGATTTACGATATTATTTCATTCCAGAAGTATGTTCAGGTGCCATTACTGAACGAATTTGTTCCCATAAGGAATATTGTGAATTAGATTAGTCCATTTCAGACTCCCAAACATACACATATAAACGCACTTACATAAATACACTTACATAATTGGTCGCATTGGGAGCTGATCGTAAACCGGGGGTCCACTGTATAGCCTTTTTCTCACTTTCAAATGCATAATAAAACTTTTAAATGCATAATAAAACTTTCAAATGCATAATATAACTTTCAAATGCACAATAAAAGACTGATAACATGTTTACACTATCACATATTAAGTGAGCAATAGAGCTAGGCCTACAAAATGCATAGACAATACACACATTACTTAAAATATTTTCGACCTTAGGTTATAGAGAGAGGTGAATATATTTACCGCAGGAAGTCTGAATAAATAAAGAATGGGTATAAATGAAAAATGCTGCATTAGTGAAATGCCAAAGAGCAAAGTGCTGTAAAGTGAGGCACACCTGTATATGGGTATCATCAAGCTACGTTTCAGGATAGAACTGCTGAGGCACCTAAGGAAGAGTTTGCAAAGCTCAAGAGAAAGCAACATTCAGCAGTCCAGTCACCAGGAAGACAAGCCATCATCCATAGTGTCATACCTTGACTTGAGACAATGGAGTGCATTGCACTAATCACTGAGGTGGATGAGGGTTGAGAGTAGATTCTGGCTCACCTTTACTAAGAGACATTCATTCCAAACGTAGCAAGTTTTTACTTAATCAGATCAGTGGAAGACAAATGTGCTGGAGACTAAGGTGAAGAACTGATGGAAAAGACAAATGTAGAGGTGTCCCTAATTTGTACACTTCACCCAGTACCAGACTTTTTAGAGTATATGACAGACAAAAACATCTATGGAGGCAAAGGAGGGAATGTATGAAAGTATAGTAGTACCAACACTTTATATGGGTGTGAAGCTTGGGTTGTAAATGTTGCAGCGAGGAGCGGTTGGAGGCAGTGGAGATGTCCTGTCTAAGGGCAATGTGTGGTGTAAATATTATGCAGAAAATTCGGAGTGTGGAAATTAGGAGAAGTGTGGAGTTAATAAAAGTATTAGTCAGAGGGCTGAAGAGGGGTTGTTGAGGTGGTTTGGTCATTTAGAGAGAATGGATCAAAGTAGAATGACATGGAGAGGGTATAAATCTGTAGGGGAAGGAAGGCGGGGTAGGGGTCGTCCTCGAAAAGGTTGGAAGGGGTAAGGGAGGTTTTGTGGGCGAGGGGCTTGGACTTCCAGCAGGCGTGCATGAGCGTGTTCGATAGGAGTGAATGGAGACGAATGGTACTTGGGACCTGACGATCTGTTGGAGAAGGAAGACGGGGTAGGGGTCGTCCTCGAAAGGGTTGGAGAGAGGGGGTAAAGGAGGTTTTGTGGGCAAGGGGCTTGGACTTCCAGCAAGCGTGCGTGAGCGTGTTAGATAGGAGTGAATGGAGACGAATGGTACTTGGGACCTGACGATCTGTTGGAGTGTGAGCAGGGTAATATATAGTGAAGGGATTCAGGGAAACCGGTTATTTTCATATAGTCGGACTTGAGTCCTGGAAATGGGAAGTACAATGCCTGCACTTTAAAGGAGGGGTTTGGGATATTGGCAGTTTGGAGGGATATGTTGTGTATCTTTATATGTGTATGCTTCTAGACTGTTGCATTCTGAGCACCTCTGCAAAAACAGTGATAATGTGCGAGTGTGGTGAAAGTGTTGAATGATGATGAAAGTATTTTCTTTTTGGGGATTTTCTTTCTTTTTTGGGTCACCCTGCCCCGGTGGGAGACGGCCGACTTGTTGAAAAAAAAAAAAAAAAAAAAAAAAAAATTCAGGGAAACCGGATATTTTTATATAGCTGGACTCGAGTCCTGGAAATAACAATGGGAAGTACAATGCTTGCACTCTAAAGAAGGGGTTCAGAATAGTAGCAGTTTGGAGGAATATGTTGTGTATCTTTATACGTATATGCTTCTAAACTGTTGTGCTCTGAGCACCTCTGCAAAAACAGTGATTATGTGTGAGCGAGGTGAAAGTGTTGAATGATGATGAAAGTATTTTCTTTTAGGGGATTTTCTTTCTTTTTGGGTCACCCTGCCTCGGTGGGAGACGGCCGACCTTATGTCCATTACGCTAATGTCATGTGACCATCATTTGAACCGTGCTCGGTTCTCGGACCCCTACAACATTTACCTCATACTGTCTAGATAATCGAGCACATAATATACACACAAAAACCTCAGCAAAGTCGCTCATCTTAAAAAATGGAATAAACTACCCTTCGCTTTCCCAAAGAGCCTTCATGTTTACCATTCTGACCTTTATTTGGTAAACATAATATGTTCAGTATTGCAGCACAGCATTATAGTGTAATATTTTACCAAGTACAGTGGACCCCCGCTTAACGATCACCTCCAAATGCGACCAATTATGTAAGTGTATTTATGTAAGTGCGTTTGTACGTGTATGTTTGGGGGTCTGAAATGGACTAATCTACTTCACAATATTCCTTATGGGAAAAAATTCGGTCAGTACTGGCACCTGAACATACTACTGGAATGAAAAAAATTTGTTAACCGGGGGTCCACTGTATAATAGAATGTTAATTACAAAGTATGCATGAAGAGTATCAAATCAGCATGAGACACAGTACGTAGGATTTTATCATGCACTGTCAGCCCAAATATTTTTCACCTGAAGCAACAAACTCTCTTGCAGTTATATTTTTTGGAACCATTCCACAATGTTAAAAGAAAATCGTCTATTTTTGCTTTTAAAATGAGTAACTCTTCTTGAGAGAAGAAATAATCTCCATTGGAAGAATATCTGCTACAGCCACCACAAATAAACACACACAGCAGGAGACAATGAATACAATGAAAAATGGTCTGGGGTTACCAACAAGATGTGGAAAAAGGCACTTATGTATAGTTCAGGACATTTGTTACAGGACGTGTTTTGCCAAAAGTGACTCCTTCAGCCCTGAAAAATACATTGCCTCTAATAAATGCCCTGAACATTTATTACAGAAAACGTGTCCTGAAGACGCCACTTGTGGCATAACATTTCCTCTAATGTATTTCTTGAGCTGTACGTAAGTGTTTTTTCCACACAATGAATACAATGTTGACATCAAGAAGGACATGATGACAACTTTGTACTGACCTTGGGCTCTGTGATGGAGTGGTGCTAGTGAAGTCATCGGCATCAAAGAAGTCTTCATCTTCGGAGCTGGAGTACGACATTTCTGGTACGACGGTATCTGGAGGCACTAACGCACACGGTACTACAAACGAGAAAAACAAACCTCTGAACCCTTCATTGTATACAATAATCATTTAATGTGTAATACAGCAATCTTATATTTCACCTTTATATTACTGCATTATACATTAGCAAAAATCTTAAATGCATCCAAAAAGAAGCCTTCATTTCTTGTGTTATAATGCGTGAAATATATTGCAGCCTAAAGCATTATACAGTCTTCAAGACTGACAAAAATATGCGTTAGTGTTAAAATACACAGTAGTCCCCCTGTATCCATGGGGATACATTCCAAGACCTACTGCAGATAAGAGAAACTGCACATAGTAGCGAACCCCACGTATACCCACATACATACCCATGATTAAGTTTAACTGACAAATTACACACAATAAGTAGAGAATTATCGCTTTTTCACTGATGGAAAGCACTTCACAGCTTCTCTAAGGCTTAGAAAACCTTATATCATTACTTTTGTGGTTTGGGGCCATTATTAAGCAAAATTAAGAGTTATTTTCGGGTCATGGTGAACGACGGACAACTGAAACCCGGGAAACTGAATCCACGGATACAGTGGTTCTACTGTATACTGTAAGTGGTTCATTAGCTCTAACAAGTAACCTGTTACTACAACACTGTACAGGTGCTCCTTGATTTATGATGGTGGTTACGTTCCGACGAACCCGTTGTAAGTCAAGAATATCGTCAGTCAAATATGAAATGCTAAGTAAGTTAATAAATGTCACTGAATAATTAAATAAACAAATAAATTACCAGTACTGAAACTAAATGAATACAAGCTACGGACTTGCTGCCGTCATGCTGGGTAATTATCTTAAGTTTCATCTCCAATGTAATCATTTTTGCCTCACTGTAACGTCAAAATATCATGTCGAACCATCATACATCAAGGAACACCTGTTTTTACATGCAACACAAGCCATTATGTACAAGGAACACCACCAATGAAACACGGCGAACCCCAAACTGTACATGTTTATACATCAATGAATAGTTCTGCATACAGTATCTTGTATAACTAAAGTTTAATTATTCTCACAGGTTTTGGAATAAATTATTATTAATGGAAAGCTGCTACATACATAGGGATCCTTCTCTACCTCCCTCTCTCCCTCCTTAGACATTCCCTCCTTCTCTGTCTTCCTCCTTACAATTATCTCTAGTCCATCTTTCTCTTCTTTCATCCATCCTTTGAAACACAAGTTTTATTAAACCATTTTCTTAGGAGTGTTATTTACTGACTCACAAAATCATTATGGCGTGATTGAAGGAAGATATTGAACAGAATTTGGGATTGAAACCCATGGTAGGCTGCTACTAAAACTAGCAGGCCACTGCTAGTTTTAGTAGCAACCTACTAAAACTAGGCTAGTAGTAAAACTAGCAGACAAGTGGTAAAACTTGTAGGCTAGAAGTAAAACTAGCAGGCCAGTGGTAAAACTCGTAGGCTAGTAGTAAAACTAGCAGGCCAGTGGTAAAACTAGCAGGCTACTGTAGGGCCCCACTTATACAGAAGGCCAGGTTCTAGGCTGCTGTAGGGCTCCACTTAAACAGCAGGTTGGGTTCCAGGCTACTGTAGGGCCCCACTTATACAGGAGGTTAGGTTCCGGGCTACTGTAGTGCCCTACTTATACGGAAGGTTAGGTTCTGGGCTACTGTAGGGCTCCACTTATACAGCAGGTTAGGTTCCGGGCTACTGTAGTGCCCTGCTTATACGGCAGGTTAGGTTCTGGGCTACTGTAGGGCTCCGCTTATACAGCAGGTTAGGTTCCAGGCTACTGCGGTGCCCTGCTTATACGGCAGGTTAGGTTCTGGGCTACTGTAAGGCTCTGCTTATACAGCAGGTTAGGTAAATTGGCACCTACACATCCCAAAACCAATCTGAACATTCCACTAATATGCACCAGCTATTTAAGATTAAAACCTATTTGAAGTGACATAGTTGTTGCAATGAAACAAAAATATCTATTTAAAACATTTACCAAAATCGTATTTCTACTTTCAAATAACAATACATACCTTCCTCTGAGAACAATACATCAGTACGTATTTTGAAGTCTGAAGCTCCTTATGAGTTTCTTTCTCAAGTTATTGCATGGAAAAAAAAAGTACCCCCCCAATTTTTAATAAATTGGTAAATTGGCATCTATACAGCCCAAGAACATTCAAAAGTTTTCTCTAAGATACACCAGCATTTCTTCTTTCTTTCAATGCACCGACCGTATCCCACCGAGGCAGGGTGACCCAAGAGGAAAAATGAAAGTTCCTTTTGCATTTAGTAATATATACAGGGAAAGGGGTTACTAGCCCCTTGCTCCTGGCATTTTAGTCGCCTCTTACGACACACATGGCTTATGGAGGAAGAATTCTGTTCCACTTCCCCATGGAGACACCAGCATTTATTATTATTATTAGATGGGAAGGGGGAGAGGGGGGGAAAGACAGATGCTGTATTGAGGCATCTGTGGAGATAAAGAACTTTATCAATGGAGTATAGTGGTACCAAATACTGTTATGTGGATGTGAAGCATCGACTTGAGCCCTTTCACTGTTTCTCACGTAGATCTACGTGAGTGGGATCGGTGCTGGTCATGTAGATCTACATCTTAATTATAGTGCCCTCAAATATGCTGCAAGCAGAAAATTTTGGCCTGTGCAATGAGTGTGCATAGTATAGAATAATGGGAACAGATGACCTATGACCTTGGGTTACAATTAAAACAGCGACTTTTAAGGCATTTTCTAGGTGGCTTTCATGGTTTTATTGGTTTCCTCTGGAAGGGCACAAGGCACAAGACTGCACCCCCCCCCCCTAGTCTGTTGTTGGGTTTTTACTAAGTGTGCTTCAATTATCAAAATAGCCTAAACCATAGCAAAGCATTCCTGGTTATATTACATTAGTCAAGAAATAGGAAAATCTTTTATTTTTTTGTGTGCAATGATGGATTTAAAGTGAGGGGCAAGTGTTACATAGTTGCTCTCTGAACAATTTAAAAAAAAAAATTGTCGTTGCTAGATTAGAATGAGCTATCAGCTGTTCTGTTGCTAGCTATCAATATGTAAAGGGAAACCAAGCTACTGACATCTTTTGAAGTCATACTGATACCTAATAGGACTGGTGGTGATTATTTTGAGTCTGGCAAAGGAGGTATGGGAACATAGTGAGCCTTCCATTGGGGTCTGTAATTGTAAAAATGTTGCATACTCCTGCTTTAGTTGTGAATTTTGTAGCTAAAAGTATTTTTATTACCCTGTCCAGCCTCCATCATTCTTGATGGGTAATATTTAGATGCAGATATGACACTTTCAAATAACAGTGTGACTTTGTAAATGGTCCAAGTTGGACCGAAACGTCGTCGTGAGCTTCTCTCTTTTATGTGCGGGTTATTTGTGTATGACACTTTCAATAATTTCTAAAATATCCATTATAACATAGTTTTTTCATTTCAAAATACTGTCCATCTCCCACTAAGGCAAGGTGATCCAAAAAAGAAAACTGCAAAGCTTGCTTCATTTGACATTTAGTAATTTACACAGAAGGGTTTACTAGCCCTTGTAACATATTTCTTGTGCCTAGTTTCTAGTGAGAACAGTTTGAATATCATTAAATATCTTAATATTTAAGTGAATAATGTTTTAGAATTTGTGAAAAGAAGCAAAAACCTGGTTTATGGACAAAACCTTGAGAACCTTAAAATATTCATGATTAAAACCAATAAATAACAAAAATGCACAATACCGTGACTGGAACAATACACAAATAACCCGCACATAGGAGAGAGGAGCTTACGATGATGCTTCAGTCCGACTTGGACCATTTACAAAGTCATACTGTGTGACTTTGTAAATGGTCCAAGTCAGACCGAAACTTCATTGTAAACTCCTCTCTCCTATGTGCGGGTTATCTGTGTATGAAAATCAGTATCAGACATTAAACACATTGGAGTTCAATCATCCAACACTATACTACAGGAGTAATGTACTGAGTCCCATACCCCAAGTGACTGCTGGATGTGTCCATCTAAGTCCATTATAATCTGCAGTATGAAAATCTGCAACTTTCACTGCATTGTTCTCATTATGAATTACCTTGGAAAAATAGAGATAAATACAATATAATGTAATCTTTTACTAGCTTTTGCACACACAGTGGGCTTTATCAAGTCCCAAATACAGTGGAACCTCAAAAATCGAACTGCTCCTAACACAACCAATTATGTAAGTGTATTTTTGAAAGTGCTTTTATAAGTGCATTTTTGAGGGTCTGAAATGGACTAATCTAATTTACATTATTCCTGATGGGAATAAATTCATTCGGTAAAGGCACTCGAACAGCCTTCTGGACCGAAGAAAGTTCGATATTTGAGGTTCCACTGTAGATCTGTTTGTGACGAAAAGTATTCAATAAAGGATCACATTATGTTACCCACATTTTATTATAGAAATGGAGTTTATGCTCATGGTGGCCAGGCTTATGTCAAGAATTATTTTTTTCATTAACACACTGGCCATTTCCCGCCAAGGCAGGGTGACCAAAAAAAGAAGAAACACTTTCATCATTCACTCCATCACTGTCTTGCCAGAGGTATGCCTACACTAGTTAAAAAAACTGCGACATATCAATACCCCTCCTTCAGAGTGCAGGCACTGTACTTCCCACCTCCACGACTCAAGTCTGGTTAGTCGCTTTTGTGCTGGTTAGTCGGTTTCTGTGCTGGTTTTGTCACGCATTACATCTCCTCTCGCGTCATTTCAGGTATCTTTGTGCCTATTTTTTGACTGTCAGTATTATATACCATTGATTTTCATCTACCCCCTCATCATCAAAATCCCAGTGACACTGGTTACAGGTAGTCAATATGTAGTTACAAGATTAATAATGTAGTAACTTTATCGTAGTCATCAAATATTAATGAAACTAGAGTTACTAGGAAACAAAATATAAAACTACTAGGTATCTAAATAGTTTCATCCCTCAAAAAAGTTTTGAAAGGTTATTATCAAGAACTAAAAAATATTGATACAACATACAACAGTGTTTTTATGAACAAAGCTCCGAGCAAATTAGTAATATCAAGCACCATTATATATTAAGTGTATATCGCATTTTAGTATTAGCGTGAATCCCGTCATGCAAACTATCTTCTGGTGTTTCTATACACCAAGAAAATATTAGAAAGTTTGTGAAGAATTTGTTAGAATCATGCTAGTGCACTCTTCTCCCTGTTAATCATGAAGCACTAGCCTTTCTGAAGTCTAGAATACAGACCTTTGTTCAATCATGCTAGTGCCCTTTTAACCTTGTGACTATAAATAAATAAATAAATAAATAAATAATAATTAAGCCATTTTTGCTGTCCCAGATCCAGAAGTTAAGCATCTCGCAAATACTCACTTGTGTGGGTATTTTATGATTAGTTCCAGTCATGTTATTATGGCTTGTATTCTTCAGGATGCAAACAAAAATAAGTAGAAGTGATAATACAATTTGCAGGCAAAGACTACTAAGCAAGAATAGATAAATGATCTTTCTTCCCTGAAGGAAAACCTTATAAGAGGAATGTTCAACCATATCTAACCAAAGAACAGGTGGGGTTTCAACCCATGGTGGCTTTAAGGGAACTTGAGCCAGAGTTCACCACAGCCATGCTGGCAGGCAAGTCATCTGTAAAAATTTGAAATTGTGGTCACAGTGGTGCCCAAGCTAACCTCCCAATGGTGTATAAATATGCCTATATCGTACTGTAGCCAGCTGGCCCTGTGGCTTACACACTGGCCTAGACTCACATGCCATGGGTTCAAGCCCCACCCAGTCCCTGGTTTGTTTTCAATTGTGTTATTACGATTTCGTGAGTCATATCCGACAACATACGACCATCTCACCTGGACTCCTCTGCTGCATTCCTACTAGCGCATTAGTTGCTTCAGCACACTCCCGGCCTACTTCAATACCAGTGCGAACCGTGGGAGTCACTGTGAGTGGTACTCCATCATTCTCTGCAGCAGAGGTCACTACTCCCACCCTTCCTCCTCCTACTCCTCCACCTCCATCACAGACTCCCTCACCTCCTCCAACAACTCCTTCACTGGATGAAGCTGATGATGTTCCTTCAGGGATGGCATTACATGGATGATACACACCATTAACAGGAAAGGCAGTGTTCTTTGCTATCTGTAATAAGACAGAGAAAACATAAAGATACACTCAACAAAGAAATCATTTGTAAAGTAAAAGGACACAAGTGCAACTAATATGACATTTTATTGTGGCAACGTTTCGCTCTCCAGGAGCTTTGTCAAGCCGTTACAAACAGTATATGGACACAGAGGGTATATAAAGGCTCAGAGTGAGGTGCAATACTAGTGAGGTACCATTTCGATGTTCACTAGTGGTAGTAGTAATTTCCAGTAGTAGTAACGTATACCAACAAATACACACAATGAAAAGCAACAGGCTTATGTGAATATACAAGGGACAAAAGAGATTGTAAAAATTATAGAGGAATAAGTTTACTGAGTATACCAGGAAAAGTGTACGGTAGGGTTATAATTGAAAGAATTAGACGTACGACAGAATGTAGGATTGCGGATGAGCAAGGTGGTTTCAGAGTGGGTAGGGGATGTGTAGATCAAGTGTTTACATTGAAGCATATATGTGAACAGTATTTAGATAAAGGTAGGGAAGTTTTTATTGCATTTATGGATTTAGAAAAGGCATATGATAGAGTGGATAGAGAAGCAATGTGGCAGATGTTGCAAGTACAGTAAGGCCCCGCCTTACGGCATTCCGCTAATACGGCGATGTCAAATTATGACCAAAATTTGCTATACGGCAAGCGGTCTTTCAAATACGGCGCCCCCACCCGGTTTGTTTAAATTTTCTGTGACCACATCTATTATGTCAGGAAACTTTTTCAAAATTTCAAGTGTTTTAAAGTTACTGCATATTTTATATATACTCTGATAATTGTACTTAAGTGTACCTGTACCTAAATATACTTACACACTGTGCTGGTGTGCAGGTACACATTAAAATTGCTAAGTCTCTCTCTACTCATGACGCCAATACTACGTAATAATAATCACTCTTGGGCACACTAAATGTCTTATTTTACATCAATATAGGCATTTTCATTAATCCATCTATGATATTTTCCTCAAAATTATATATGAAATCCATTACATAGCATATAAACATGATACATACACTCAGAATAAAAATTGATGTAAATATGAGATTTGTTTACCAAGCAGCTGTGTAGGTGGTGTCGGAAGAATTATGTTTTCTCTAGTCAAACACTGGGGGGGTAACTGTAGAAAAATATTCTTTTCATATGCCTTTACTCTATGTATAGCAATTCACGACCCTTGTGGGTTTAGTGCTTTTTATAATAAATAATAATTATTATTATTATTAATATTAATATATTATTATTAGTAATCTTCAGTAATCTTTACTAAAGATTACTAATAATAATACGTATATTAATAATAATAATAATAATAATAATAATAATAATAATTATTATTTATAAAAAACACTAAACCCACAAGGGTCGTGAATTGCTATACATAGAGTAAAGGCATACGAAAAGAATATTTTTCTAGTTACCCCCAGCCGACTTGTTGAAAAAAAAAATTATTATTATTAATATTAATAATAATAATATAATTATTATTATTATTATTATCTTCATTCACTCTAAAAATGGTGTGTTGCTGTTTGTTTATTCTGAACTAACTTGTACAACTTGTACACAATGTAAGTGTGTTTGTATTGTGAGGCAATTATTGTTAAAATAAAAAAAATATTGAGGTAAATGTTTTACAAACTCTTACAAATGGACGTGAATGAACTAAAAGTAGACACATATTAATACGCATTTATTTCGCCTGACCAAGTGATCGTCCACTACCTGTTCAGTTTGTGTTCTTACATTGTCTCAACTCTGTATCTCGTTCTCTCTCTCGTTTACTCTTTCGTTAACTAGTTGGCTCTCATTGACAATGGCGTCTAAGGTTAGCTGTAATAAAAAGAGAAGTTGTAAGCCTCTTACCTGGAATTTACCTGGAGAGATTTCCGGGGGTCAACGCCCCCACGGCCCGGTCTGTGACCAGGCGTCCTGGTGGATCAGAGCCTGATCAACCAGGCTGTTACTGCTGGCTGCACGCAAACCAACGTACGAGCCACAGCCCGGCTGGTCAGGAACCGACTTTAGGTGCTTGTCCAGTGCCAGCTTGAAGACTGCCAGGGGTCTGTTGGTAATCCCCCTTATGTATGCTGGGAGGCAGTTGAACAGTCTCGGGCCCCTGACACTTATTGTATGGTCTCTTAACGTGCTAGTGACACCCCTGCTTTTCATTGGGGGGATGTTGCATCGTCTGCCAAGCCTTTTGCTTTCGTAGTGAGTGATTTCCGTGTGCAAGTTCGGTAGTTAGAGGATGATGGTGTGCCATTCTGATTTTATTCAATAAACACCCTGCCATTCACCTCTCACACACTAATATTAATACTTTAAGGTAAGTAATAAGTGTACTCTGTGTGTATCTTACCTTTTATTTTGTTTTTAATGCCTATTTCTATTGCGAACTTAATATAAGTTAGTGTAAACTTGTTGTCTGGCATTTATTGCATAGTTTATATGCTCTGATAATAATACTTGTGGATCCGGGTGGAGGGACAACATTACGTTTTCTCTTTTAGCCATCAGAGAAAACGTGTATGAATCTGCGTTTGGCCCAGCCACTCCCCCACTCCGCTTTTGTTTACAAATTTCGGCATGAGTTATTCATTACTTCTACCTTCGTTTATGATGGCATCTAAAGGTAGTTGTTAGAAATGATTAAATTCATTGTACAAGGCATGTCGATGTTAATAATATGGCTCTGGGCCACAGTGTAGGTAGCCGGTAGGTGTAGCCCAGGCAGGCTACACCTACCGGCTACCTACACTGACTTTATACAAATAAATACTACTCACCTCTCTTCCTATATTAAGACTACACATATTTTAAGGTAAATAATGAGTGTACTGTATGTGCATTTTACCTCTCTGGGATGTTTTAAATATCGTATATTAAGTATGAGACGGGGAGCCAGGGCTACCTACACCTGGGCTACCTACACCAGTGCTACCTACACCTGGGCTACCTACACCTGGGCTACCTACACCTGGGCTACCTGCACCTGGGCTACCTGCACCTGACTTCCTACAAATAAGTACTACTCACCTCTCTCCCTACATTAAGATTACAAATACTTTAGGATAAGTAATGAATTTACTGTGACTGTATTTTACTTTGTGTGTTTTTAATGCCTAGTTCTATTACTAACTTATTATAATTTAGTGTAAACTTGTTGTCTGGCATTTATATGCATTTATAAATGGAAAAAAATGGAGTTCTGCCTTCCAGCGATGTCTGCTTTCCGGCGACAGCCTGGAACCTAACCCGCCGTATAAGTGGGGCCCTACTGTATATGGAATAGGTGGTAAGTTATTAAATGCTGTAAAGAGTTTTAGGGTGTGTAGAAGAGAGGGAGACTACTTCCCGGTAAAAATAGGTCTTAGACAGGGATGTGTAATGTCACCATGGTTGTTTAATATATTTATAGATAGGGTTGTAAAAGAAGCAAATGCTAGGGTGTTCGGGAGAGGGGTGGGATTAAATTACGGGAAATCAAATTCAAAATGGGAATTGACACAGTTACTTTTTGCTGATGATACTGTTCTTATGGGAGATTCTAAAGAAAAATTGCAAAGGTTAGTGGATGAGTTTGAGAATGTGTGTAAAGGTAGAAAGTTGAAAGTGAACATAGAAAAGAGTAAAGTGATGAGAGTATCAAATGATTTAGATAAAGAAAAATTGGATATCAAATTGGGGAGGAGAGTATGGAAGAAGTGAATGTTTTCAGATACTTGGGAGTTGACGTGTCGGCGGATGGATTTATGAAGGATGAGGTTAATCATAGAATTGATGAGGGAAAAAAGGTGAGTGGTGCGTTGAGGTATATGTGGAGTCAAAAAACGTTATCTATGGAGGCAAAGAAGGGAATGTATGAAAGTATAGTAGTACCAACACGCTTATATGGGTGTGAAGCTTGGGTAGTAAATGCAGCAGCGAGGAGACGGTTGGAGGCAGTGGAGATGTCCTGTTTAAGGGCAATGTGTGGTGTAAATATTATGCAGAAAATTCGGAGTGTGGAAATTAGGAAAAGGTGTGAAGTTAATAAAAGTATTAGTCAGAGGGCAGAAGAGGGGTTGTTGAGGTGGTTTGGTCATTTAGAGAGAATGGATCAAAGTAGAATGACATGGAAAGCATATAAATCTATAGGGGAAGGAAGACGGGGTAGGGGTCGTCCTCGAAAGGGTTGGAGAGAGGGGGTAAAGAAGGTTTTGTGAGCGAAGGGCTTGGACTTCCAGCAAGCATGCGTGAGCGTGTTAGATAGGAGTGAATGGAGACGAATGGTACTTGGGACCTGACGATCTGTTGGAGTGTGAGCAGGTTAATATTTAGTGAAGGGATTCAGGGAAACCGGTTATTTTTATATAGCTGGACTTGAGTCCTGGAAATGGGAAGTACAATGCCTGCACTTTAAAGGAGGGGTTTGGGATATTGGCAGTTTGGAGAGATATGTTGTGTATCTTTATATGTATATGCTTCTAAACTGTTGTATTCTGAGCACCTCTGCAAAAACGGTGATAATGTGTGAGTGTGGTGAAAGTGTTGAATGATGAAGAAAGTATTTTCTTTTTGGGGATTTTCTTTCTTTTTTGGGTCACCCTGCCTCGGTGGGAGACGGCCAACTTGTTGAGAAAAAAAAAAAATACGAGAGACAGGAAGGATTGAAGAAATTTCACGTTCAACCATTAAAAAAAAACAGAATAGGTACAAGAGCTGAAACAATACCACAATCATTATTACATAGAGAAATTTAGGGAGTACAAAAGAAAAACTTTCATTTTTCTTTTTTAGGTCACCCTGCCTCAGGTGGGATACAGCCAGTGTATTAAAAATATGTAAAATTGACTAGGGGTGAAAGAGTTGATTTGGCAGCAGCCTGGCATATGAAGATAGAGTCAACTATTAATCCACAATTTGGAGAGGAAATCTTAGACAGATGGACAGGAACAAAATGTCATCTAAATAAGGTTTAGTGACCTGTTCCAGCCATGGTACTGTGAATTTTGGGGCTAGTATGAACTGATTGCATAACAAGATATATTGTAGCGAGTAAGCCGGTTTCTGTGAGTACAAAGCACATGTTAGTTTCTTTCTTTCTTTTGCCCCTAACTGCATGTACAGTGGACCCCTGCATACCGTTGGCATCACATAACGTTAAATCCGCATACCGATATATTTTATCGCTAAGATTTTGCCTCGCATACCGCTAAAAAACCCACTCAATGCTATTCGTCCGAGACGCGTCTATGTGAGGCCTGAGCCAGCCTCACATGTTCCACCGGTGGCATTGTTTACAAGCCAGCCTCCGCGGTAACATCCAAGCATACAATCGGAACATTTCGTATTATTACAGCGTTTTTCGTGATTTTATCTGCAAAATAAGTGACCATGGGCCCCAAGAAAGCTTCTAGTGCCAACCCTGTGGTAAAAAGGGTGAGAAATATTATCGAAATACTGTGGTACCATGGTCAACTGCTGATGCTGCTGCTGCTGTAGCACTGTCAGCTGCTGCTGTAGCACCATCAGCTGCTGCTGCTGCTGTACCACCGTCAGCTGCTGCTGCTGCTGCTGCTGTAGTACCGTCTGCTGCTGCTGTAGCACCGTCTGCTGCTGCTGCTCTTGTAGCACTGTCACTTGCTGCTGTAGCACTGTCAGCTGCTGCTGCTGTAGCACTGTCAGCTGCTGCTGCTGCTGCTGTAGCACTGTCAGCTGCTGCTCTGCTGTAGCACTGTCAGCTGCTGCTGCTGCTGCTGTAGCACTGTCAGCTGCTGGCTGCTGTAGCACTGTCAGCTGCTGCTGCTGCTGCTGTAGCACTGTCAGCTGCTGCTGCTGTAGCACCATCAGCTGCTGCTGCTGCTGTACCACCGTCAGCTGCTGCTGCTGCTGCTGTAGTACCGTCTGCTGCTGCTGTAGCACCGTCTGCTGCTGCTGTAGCACTGTCAGCTGCTGCTGCACTGTCAGCTGCTGCTGCTGACTGCTGTACCACCGTCAGCTGCTGCTGCTGCTGTGACCGTCGCTGCTGCTGTAGCACCGTCTGGCTGCTGCTGTAGCACTGTCGCTGCTGGCTGTAGCACTGTCAGCTGCTGCTGCTGCTGCTGCTGCTGCTGTAGCCTGTAGCTGCATGCTGTTGCTGTAGCACTGTTGTTGGTGTGGCTTATTGAGAATACCAAGAAACAATTAACCCCAGAGGGTTAGCCACCCAGGATAACCCAAAAAAGTCAGTGTCATCGAAGACTGTCTAACTTATTTCCATTGGGGTCCTTAATCTTGTCTCCCAGGATGCAACCCACACCAGTCGACTAACACCCAGGTGAACAGGGAAAAATGCCTGGAACTAGTGCTCATATTGGTGAATTTAAAGCCAGCAAAGGTTGGTTTGAGAGATTTAAGAGTCGTAGTGGCATACACAGTGTGATAAGGCCTGTTCTGGAAGAAAATGCCAAACAGGACCTACAGTACTCAGGAGGAAAAGGCACTCCCAGGACACAGTGTCTCATCAGTCATTGCTGCATCTTCAATAAAGGTAAGTGTCATTTATTCTTCATTTAGTAGAGTAGTACATGCACAATATATATTGTGCATGTACTACTCTACTATTGTGCATGTATCCTTCTCTTTGTGTGTAGGAAAATGTATATTTCATGTGGTGAAAATTTTTTTTTCATACTTTTGGGTGTCTTGCACGGATTAATTTGATTTCCATTATTTCTTATGGGGAAAATTCATTCACATAACGATAATTTCGCATAACAATGAGCTCTCAGGAACGGATTAATATCTTCATGTGGGGGTCCACTGTATTTTATTACATGTTAACTCCATTATCTGCACACTGCAGAAAACAAAGTACGGTGGACCTCCACTTTATGATCACCTCCCAATGCGACCAATTATGTAAGTGTATTTATGTAAGTGCGTTTGTATGTGTATGTTTGGGGGTCTGAAATGGACTAATCTAATTCACAATATTCCTTATGGGAACAAATTCAGTCAGTACTGGCACCTGAACATACTTCTGGAATGAAATAATATCGTAAACCGGGGGTCCACTGTACAGTATTTGTATTTTGTATCCGAATTATTGTTTCCTACTGAAACAAGGGGTAACTTCTTCATTTTGACAATAACTAAACCTGCATGTAGAACTTTTCGACATGTTTCAAGTGTTCATTCAAGAATTTGTAACACATGAAGGTATTTGGAATACCTAGGATTCAACAGAGATTATAAAAGAAATTACATAAAAAGGTAAAACTGCTCGTCTGGAGAGAGGTAGGGAATGAATGATGGCGAATGCATTTTTTTTTCCTTGAATCGTGTCTTGGTGGGAAACAAATGATGCGAGGGCACCATGTCTTGGTGAGAACGAATGACGCAGGAACACTATGTCTTAGTGAGAAATGAACAATACGAGGACAATATGTCTTGGTGGCACATGAACAATGCAAGGACACCAAGGATTGGTGAGAAATGAACAATGTGAGAAAAAACTAATATGCCAGCACCAACCTGTAATAAAACTATCGAGTGCTTGATGGACTCCAAAACAGTGTTGACATTGGTAATGACATCTTGGCAGCGCTGCCTGTCCGCTTCATCATCAGTAGATAACATGTGTTTCTCCAGTACGCTGGTCTGTTCAATCAGGAGTTGAAGATAAACATCGCTTTCAATTAACTTCTTGTCGAAGTCTGCCATTGTTGGAGCTGGCTTGCTTGGGTCCCACCTCTGTGGAAATGTGACAATAACAGGCATATCATATTAAAAAAAAAAACAACAGAGTTTGATACAGATATTACAACAGAGTTTGATACAGGTATTACAACAAAGTTTGATACAGGTATTACAACAAAGTTTGATACAGGTATTACAACAAAGTTTGATACAGGTATTACAACAACAAAGTTTGATACAGGTATTACAACAGAGTTTGATACAGGTATTACAACAGAGTTTGATATAGGTATTACAACAGTTTGATACAGGTATTACAACAGAGTTTGATACAGGTATTACAACAGAGTTTGATACAGGTATTACAACAGAGTTTGATACAGGTATTACAACAAAGTTTGATACAGGTATTACAACAGAGTTTGATACAGGTATTACAACAAAGTTTGATACAGGTATTACAACAAAGTTTGATACAGGTATTACAACAGAGTTTGATACAGGTATTACAACAAAGTTTGATACAGGTATTACAACAGTTTGATACAGGTATTACAACAAAGTTTGATACAGGTATTACAACAAAGTTTGATACAGGTATTACAACAAAGTTTGATACAGGTATTACAACAAAGTTTGATACAGGTATTACAACAGAGTTTGATACAGGTATTACAACAAAGTTTGATACAGGTATTACAACAGTTTGATACAGGTATTACAACAGTTTGATACAGGTATTACAACAAAGTTTGATACAGGTATTACAACAAAGTTTGATACAGGTATTACAACAGTTTGATACAGGTATTACAACAAAGTTTGATACAGGTATTACAACAAAGTTTGATACAGGTATTACAACAAGTTTGATACAGGTATTACAACAAAGTTTGATACAAGTATTACAACAGAGTTTGATACAGGTATTACAACAAAGTTTGATACAGGTATTACAACAGAGTTTGATACAGGTATTACAACAAAGTTTGATACAGGTATTACAACAGAGTTTGATACAGGTATTACAACAAAGTTTGATACAGGTATTACAACAGAGTTTGATACAGGTATTACAACAAAGTTTGATACAGGTATTACAACAGAGTTTGATACAGGTATTACAACAGAGTTTGATACAGGTATTACAACAAAGTTTGATACAGGTATTACAACAGAGTTTGATACAGGTATTACAACAAAGTTTGATACAGGTATTACAACAGAGTTTGATACAGGTATTACAACAGAGTTTGATACAGGTATTACAACAAAGTTTGATACAGGTATTACAACAGAGTTTGATACAGGTATTACAACAAAGTTTGATACAGGTATTACAACAGTTTGATACAGGTATTACAACAAAGTTTGATACAGGTATTACAACAGTTTGATACAGGTATTACAACAGAGTTTGATACAGGTATTACAACAAAGTTTGATACAGGTATTACAACAAAGTTTGATACAGGTATTACAACAGTTTGATACAGGTATTACAACAAAGTTTGATACAGGTATTACAACAGAGTTTGATACAGGTATTACAACAAAGTTTGATACAGGTATTACAACAGAGTTTGATACAGGTATTACAACAAAGTTTGATACAGGTATTACAACAGTTTGATACAGGTATTACAACAAAGTTTGATACAGGTATTACAACAGAGTTTGATACAGGTATTACAACAGTCTGATACAGGTATTACAACAGAGTTTGATACAGGTATTACAACAGAGTTTGATACAGGTATTACAACAGTTTGATACAGGTATTACAACAGTTTGATACAGGTATTACAACAGAGTTTGATACAGGTATTACAACAGAGTTTGATACAGGTATTACAACAGTTTGATACAGGTATTACAACAGTTTGATACAGGTATTACAACAGAGTTTGATACAGGTATTACAACAGTTTGATACAGGTATTACAACAGTTTGATACAGGTATTACAACAGAGTTTGATACAGGTATTACAACAGAGTTTGATACAGGTATTACAACAGAGTTTGATACAGGTATTACAACAGTTTGATACAGGTATTACAACAGTTTGATACAGGTATTACAACAGAGTTTGATACAGGTATTACAACAGAGTTTGATACAGGTATTACAACAGAGTTTGATATAGGTATTACAACAGTTTGATATAGGTATTACAACAGAGTTTGATACAGGTATTACAACAGTTTGATACAGGTATTACAACAGAGTTTGATACAGGTATTACAACAGAGTTTGATACAGGTATTACAACAGGTTTGATACAGGTATTACAACAGAGTTTGATACAGGTATTACAACAGAGTTTGATACAGGTATTACAACAGAGTTTGATACAGGTATTACAACAGATTTTGATACAGGTATTACAACAGAGTTTGATACAGGTATTACAACAGTTTGATACAGGTATTACAACAAAGTTTGATACAGGTATTACAACAAAGTTTGATACAGGTATTACAACAAAGTTTGATACAGGTATTACAACAGAGTTTGATATAGGTATTACAACAGTTTGATACAGGTATTACAACAAAGTTTGATACAGGTATTACAACAGAGTTTGATACAGGTATTACAACAGAGTTTGATACAGGTATTACAACAGAGTTTGATATAGGTATTACAACAGTTTGATATAGGTATTACAACAGAGTTTGATACAGGTATTACAACAGTTTGATACAGGTATTACAACAGAGTTTGATACAGGTATTACAACAGAGTTTGATACAGGTATTACAACAGAGTTTGATACAGGTATTACAACAGTTTGATACAGGTATTACAACAAAGTTTGATACAGGTATTACAACAGAGTTTGATATAGGTATTACAACAGAGTTTGATACAGGTATTACAACAGTTTGATACAGGTATTACAACAGAGTTTGATACAGGTATTACAACAGTTTGATACAGGTATTACAACAGAGTTTGATACAGGTATTACAACAGAGTTTGATACAGGTATTACAACAGAGTTTCATACAGGTATTACAACAGAGTTTGATACAGGTATTACAACAGAGTTTGATACAGGTATTACAACAGTTTGATACAGGTATTACAACAAAGTTTGATACAGGTATTACAACAGAGTTTGATACAGGTATTACAACAAAGTTTGATACAGGTATTACAACAGAGTTTGATATAGGTATTACAACAGTTTGATACAGGTATTACAACAAAGTTTGATACAGGTATTACAACAGAGTTTGATACAGGTATTACAACAGAGTTTGATACAGGTATTACAACAAGTGTTTGATATAGGTATTACAACAGTTTGATATAGGTATTACAACAGAGTTTGATACAGGTATTACAACAGTTTGATACAGGTATTACAACAGAGTTTGATACAGGTATTACAACAGAGTTTGATACAGGTATTACAACAGAGTTTGATACAGGTATTACAACAGAGTTTGATACAGGTATTACAACAGAGTTTGATACAGGTATTACAACAGAGTTTGATACAGGTATTACAACAGAGTTTGATACAGGTATTACAACAGTTTGATACAGGTATTACAACAAAGTTTGATACAGGTATTACAACAGAGTTTGATACAGGTATTACAACAGAGTTTGATATAGGTAAATTTCAAACAGTTTGATACAGGTATTACAACAGTTTGATACAGGTATTACAACAAAGTTTGATACAGGTATTACAACAGAGTTTGATACAGGTATTACAACAAAGTTTGATACAGGTATTACAACAAAGTTTGATACAGGTATTACAACAGAGTTTGATATAGGTATTACAACAGTTTGATACAGGTATTACAACAGAGTTTGATACAGGTATTACAACAGAGTTTGATACAGGTATTACAACAGTTTGATACAGGTATTACAACAGAGTTTGATACAGGTATTACAACAAAGTTTGATACAGATATTACAACAAAGTTTGATACAGGTATTACAACAAAGTTTGATACAGGTATTACAACAGAGTTTGATACAGGTATTACAACAGAGTTTGATACAGGTATTACAACAGTTTGATACAGGTATTACAACAGAGTTTGATACAGGTATTACAACAAAGTTTGATACAGGTATTACAACAGAGTTTGATACAGGTATTACAACAAAGTTTGATACAGGTATTACAACAGAGTTTGATACAGGTATTACAACAGAGTTTGATACAGGTATTACAACAGTTTGATACAGGTATTACAACAGAGTTTGATACAGGTATTACAACAAAGTTTGATACAGGTATTACAACAGAGTTTGATACAGGTATTACAACAAAGTTTGATACAGGTATTACAACAAAGTTTGATACAGGTATTACAACAAAGTTTGATACAGGTATTACAACAAAGTTTGATACAGGTATTACAACAGAGTTTGATACAGGTATTACAACAAAGTTTGATACAGGTATTACAACAGAGTTTGATACAGGTATTACAACAAAGTTTGATACAGGTATTACAACAAAGTTTGATACAGGTATTACAACAAAGTTTGATACAGGTATTACAACAAAGTTTGATACAGGTATTACAACAAAGTTTGATACAGGTATTACAACAGAGTTTGATACAGGTATTACAACAAAGTTTGATACAGGTATTACAACAGAGTTTGATACAGGTATTACAACAGAGTTTGATACAGGTATTACAACAGTTTGATACAGGTATTACAACAGAGTTTGATACAGGTATTACAACAAAGTTTGATACAGGTATTACAACAGTTTGATACAGGTATTACAACAGAGTTTGATACAGGTATTACAACAGAGTTTGATACAGGTATTACAACAGAGTTTGATACAGGTATTACAACAGAGTTTGATACAGGTATTACAACAGAGTTTGATACAGGTATTACAACAGAGTTTGATACAGGTATTACAACAGAGTTTGATACAGGTATTACAACAGAGTTTGATACAGGTATTACAACAAAGTTTGATACAGGTATTACAACAGAGTTTGATACAGGTATTACAACAGAGTTTGATACAGGTATTACAACAGAGTTTGATACAGGTATTACAACAGAGTTTGATACAGGTATTACAACAGAGTTTGATACAGGTATTACAACAGAGTTTGATACAGGTATTACAACAGAGTTTGATACAGGTATTACAACAGAGTTTGATACAGGTATTACAACAGAGTTTGATACAGGTATTACAACAAAGTTTGATACAGGTATTACAACAAAGTTTGATACAGGTATTACAACAGTTTGATACAGGTATTACAACAGAGTTTGATACAGGTATTACAACAGAGTTTGATTACAGGTATTACAACAGAGTTTGATACAGGTATTACAACAAAGTTTGATACAGGTATTACAACAGAGTTTGATACAGGTATTACAACAGAGTTTGATACAGGTATTACAACAGTTTGATACAGGTATTACAACAGAGTTTGATACAGGTTATACAACAAAGTTTGATACAGGTATTACAACAGAGTTTGATACAGGTATTACAACAGAGTTGATACAGGTATTACAACAAAGTTTGATACAGGTATTACAACAGAGTTTGATACAGGTATTACAACAAAGTTTGATACAGGTATTACAACAAAGTTTGATACAGGTATTACAACAGAGTTTGATACAGGTATTACAACAAAGTTTGATACAGGTATTACAACAGAGTTTGATACGTACAGGTATTACAACAAAGTTTGATACAGGTATTACAACAGTTTGATACAGGTATTACAACAGAGTTTGATATAGGTATTACAACAGTTTGATACAGGTATTACAACAGAGTTTGATACAGGTATTACAACAGAGTTTGATACAGGTATTACAACAAAGTTTGATACAGGTATTACAACAGAGTTTGATACAGGTATTACAACAAAGTTTGATACAGGTATTACAACAAAGTTTGATACAGGTATTACAACAGAGTTTGATACAGGTATTACAACAGAGTTTGATACAGGTATTACAACAGTTTGATACAGGTATTACAACAGAGTTTGATACAGGTATTACAACAGAGTTTGATACAGGTATTACAACAGTTTGATACAGGTATTACAACAGAGTTTGATACAGGTATTACAACAGTTTGATACAGGTATTACAACAGTTTGATACAGGTATTACAACAGTTTGATACAGGTATTACAACAGTTTGATACAGGTATTACAACAGTTTGATACAGGTATTACAACAGTTTGATACAGGTATTACAACAGTTTGATACAGGTATTACAACAGTTTGATACAGGTATTACAACAAAGTTTGATACAGGTATTACAACAGTTTGATACAGGTATTACAACAGAGTTTGATACAGGTATTACAACAGTTTGATACAGGTATTACAACAGAGTTTGATACAGGTATTACAACAGAGTTTGATACAGGTATTACAACAGTTTGATACAGGTATTACAACAGTTTGATACAGGTATTACAACAGAGTTTGATACAGGTATTACAACAGTTTGATACAGGTATTACAACATAGTTTGATACAGGTATTACAACAGAGTTTGATACAGGTATTACAACAGTTTGATACAGGTATTACAACAGTTTGATACAGGTATTACAACAGTTTGATACAGGTATTACAACAGTTTGATACAGGTATTACAACAGTTTGATAAAGGTATTACAACAGTTTGATACAGGTATTACAACGATGGTACAAAAGCAATTACTCTGGAGATGAAACTTAAGATAATTACCCAGCATGAAGGCAGCAAGTTGCTAACTTGTATTCATTTATTTATTTTTCAATACCCGTATATTAGTTACAATAATTGTTTATTTACTTGTTCGGTGACAGTGGTTATTTATTTACTTACGAGGCCTGGTCACAAACCAAGCCCGGGAGGGGGGGGGGAACGGTGCTGATCCCCAAAACCCTCTCCAGGTATACTCCAGGTATTTAGCATATTATAATCATCTTCGACTTATATTTACAACTTACGATGGGTTCATAAGACCGTAACCCCATCGTCACTCAAGAAGCACCTGTATATTACAATACATTATGATAAATAAGACAGTTGTACAACTTCTGGGTATCAGTTTTCTGGAAACTTTTTACCAGCCAGTGGATCCTTCAGTCCAATACAGAGGAAGGTGGAAGAGGAGTAGTTCAAGGTAATCAGTCCCTCAGCCTGGACTGAACACAGACTCCAGGCTGAGGGACTGATTACTTCATCTTCCTCCTCATTCTCCACCTTTCTCTGAAATGGACTGAAGAAGCCTCTGCACGGCATAACATTTCCAGAATAAAGATACCCAAGTGTTGCACAACTCTCTCATTTATCAGCTTGTCAGTTATCTAAGCCATTTATTTGAACAATTCATCGTATTACTGATATTCCAAGAAACTCAATCCAATCTGTATAGACGGTGTATGTCCTACAAGAAAAGTATACATGTCTTATATGTACAGACGGTGTATGTCCCTACAAGAACAGTATACATGTCTTACCCGTATAGATGGTGTATGTCTTACTATTGTATCTTCTAGTCCGCGTATCCATTTCTCTCTCTCATCAGGATCGTGTGCCTGAAAATCAAAAAATATTTTAACCCAATATACTGCAATGCTGTTTGCATTTAACATGTGACATACAACTCAAACAGAAAAATTTAAAACCGCATTACAGCCTCTCCTCACTTAATGACGGGTTCTGTTCCTAAGAGTAGGATGGTAAGCAAATTGATCGTTAAGCGAGGAGCGTACTGTACTGGTAGTGGGTTTGCGTCAATCATCTTCAGATTTTTTTTAAGTCACCTCAGCACCACCTATAACATTTCTAGTGTATTTTAAAATGTTTATACAGTAGTATACTGTATATTGTAATAAAGAGAATAGAAGAAATCAGCTCTAATACACTTTGCAGGCAGCCCTCCACATTCACGAGGGTTAGGGGATCAAGAACCTAACGAATTTTGAGTAATAGCATTTATTTAGCCTAACAATACTGCTTCCTTAACTTCTTGAACCACGAACAGCCATAAAACACATGAAAACTCGTAACATACTGTATATTAGAGTAGGGAAACACTAATTAATAATCTTGAGGTTAATGATGAGCTTGGGGAAAGTGATCACAAATCACTCAGTTTTAATATATCATGGAATTCCCCTAATAATGGCAATCAAGTCTCCGTCCCTGACTTTCGCTTGGCTGATTTCATAGGACTGAAAAATTACTTAGGTGGGCTGAACTGGAATGACCTGACTAAGGGTCAGGTAGGTGGTGATGGTTGCCGATATGATGCTTTCCAGGGCATAGTTCTAGCTGCTCAGTCAAATTATGTTCCAAATAGGGAAATCAGATCAAACAAAAATGATCCTAAATGGATGAACAATAGATTAAAATATCTGATTGGTCAAAAGAGAGGCATATATAGGCAAATCAAAAGAGGAGAGGGGCAATTGAGAAATCGATATATTCAGTTAAAGAGAGAAATAAAAAAGGGAATTAGAAAAGCAAAAAGAGATTATGAGGTTAAAGTTGCAAGAGAATCGAAGACTAACCCAAAAGGATTCTTTCAGGTATACAGAAGTAAGATCAGGGACAAGATAGGCCCACTCAAAGTTCCTCGGGTCAGCTCACTGACAGTGATAAGGAAATGTGTAGAATTTTTAACACATACTTCCTCTCAGTTTTTACACAGGAGGATACCAGCGATATTCCAGTAATGATAAATTATGTAGAACAGGACGATAATAAACTGTGCACTATTAGGGTCACAAGTGACATGGTCCTTAGGCAAATAGATAAATTAAAACCTAACAAATCCCCAGGCCCTGATGAACTGTATGCAAGGGTTCTAAAGGAATGTAAAGTGGTGCTTAGCACACCTTTGGCTAATCTTTTCAACATATCACTACAAACTGGCATGGTGCCAGATAAGTGGAAAATGGCAAATGTGATACCTATTTTCAAAACAGGTGACAGGTCCTTAGCTTCGAACTATAGACCAATAAGCCTAACCTCCATAGTGGGAAAATTTATGGAATCAATAATTGCCGAGGCAGTTCGTAGCCACCTTGAAAAGCATAAATTAATCAACGAATCTCAGCATGGTTTTACAAAGGGGCGTTCCTGCCTTACGAATTTATTAACTTTTTTCAGTAAGGTATTTGAGGAGGTAGATCATGGTAATGAATATGATATTGTGTATATGGACTTCAGTAAGGCTTTTGACAGGGTCCCACATCAGAGACTATTGAGGAAAATTAAAAGCACATGGAATAGGAGGAGAAATTTTTTCCTGGATAGAGGCATGGTTGACAAATAGGCAGCAGAGAGTTTGCATAAATGGGGAGAAATCAGAGTGGGGAAGTGTCACGAGCGGTGTTCCACAGGGTCAGTGTTGGGCCCCCTGCTGTTCACAATCTACATAAACGACATAGATGAGGGGATAAAGAGCGACATCGGCAAGTTTGCCGATGACACCAAAATAGGCCGTCGAATTCATTCTGACGAGGACATTCGAGCATCCAGGAAGATTTGAATAGACTGATGCAGTGGTCGGAGAAGTGGCAGATGCAGTTTAATATAGACAAATGCAAAGTTCTAAATGTTGGACAGGACAATAACCATGCCACATATAAACTAAATAATGTAGATCTTAATATTACCGATTGCGAAAAAGATTTAGGAGTTCTGGTTAGCAGTGATCTGAAACCAAGACAACAGTGCATAAGTGTTCGCAATAAAGCTAATAGAATCCTTGGCTTCATATCAAGAAGCATAAATAATAGGAGTCCTCAGGTTGTTCTTCAACTCTATACATCCTTGGTTAGGCCTCATTTAGATTATGCTGCACAGTTTTGGTCACCTTATTACAGAATGGATATAAATTCTCTGGAAAATGTACAAAGGAGGATGACAAAGTTGATCCCATGTATCAGAAACCTTCCCTATGAGGATAGACTAAGGGCCCTGAATCTGCACTCTCTAGAAAGACGTAGAATTAGGGGGGATATGATTGAGGTGTATAAATGGAAGACAGGAATAAATAAAGGGGATGTAAATAGTGTGCTGAAAATATCTAGCCTAGACAGGACTCGCAGCAATGGTTTTAAGTTGGAAAAATTCAGATTCAGGAAGGATATAGGAAAGTACTGGTTTGGTAATAGAGTTGTGGATGAGTGGAACAAACTCCCAAGTACAGTTATAGAGGCCAGAACGTTGTGTAGCTTTAAAAATAGGTTGGATAAATACATGAGTGGATGTGGGTGGGTGTGAGTTAGACCTGATAGCTTGTGCTACCAGGTCGGTTGCCGTGTTCCTCCCTTAAGTCAATGTGACCTGACCTGACTAGGTTGGGTGCATTGGCTTAAGCCGGTAGGAGACTTGGACCTGCCTCGCATGGGCCAGTAGGCCTTCTGCAGTGTTCCTTCGTTCTTATGTTCTTATGTTCTTATATACATGTACATGTTATGGTTGAGTGTCTGGACATTCGCAAATGTTCGAAGCGCGAAAGTGGAACTTGCGAATGTGGAGGGCTGCCTGTACTGAAAGTGTACTGAAAACTGAATAGCACATACTATGGAGGCCTTTCGTGTATTATTCAATTCTGGATGCATTCTTCAATCTCATTTACAAAAAATCACACTACTGTATATAGAGGAGATTTATAAGAAAACCAAATGTAACCCAAAAAAATCAGAAAATGCAGCTGTAGAAAAATAAATGTAAATGATAACTTATAAAAACGTTTCTTCCTAACACATCATCATTATCATGACGACGACAACGACGACAATGATGATGGTACTTTATTTCAGCATGATAAAATGTTTGTGCAGAGGTGAATGACATTTAGGTGTACATGCAGAAAGCCCTTTAATATGCAGAGCATTTCGGGCAAACTTAAGCTTAAGACTACAACGGCAATGACTATCAATGCCTATATATAAGGACATACACCCTTAATGTCCTTAAATATAAACAACTGATGGTTATTGCCACTGCAGTCTTAAGTTCGCTCGAAATGCTCTGCATAACTATGGGTTTTCTGCATGCACAAGTACCGTACGTATTTCGCTGCTTATTAGATGCATTTTTTCCCATAAAATGTCTCCAAAAATCAGCCTGCGTCCTATAAACTGAAGGTCAGTGACGGGAGCTGCAAGTTTGGGGTGTGGGGTGCGCTGAAGCTCTCCGAGTTGCATCCAATGCCGAGCCATTAAAATTAAAAAAGTCTCATAAGCTGCGAAATACAGTAAATGCCACACATCTCTTTACAGCCTCTCGTCATTTAGCAACATACTCGTTTACCGACAGCTTGGACTTATGAAGGGCTCTCCGACCAGTATACCAAAATAATGTATATTAGAGCTGATTTTCTCTATTCTGTTTATTACAATATACAGTACAATAATGTATAAAAATTTAAAAATATACTAAAAATGTTATAAATGGCACAAAGGTGACATTAAAACAATATCAAAGATGGTTGACACAAACCCACTACCATTATAGTATGATCCTCTATCCCCGTCTGTGGTATGGTTTGTTTGCAATCGTGTCATTACAATTTCGTGAGTCATGCTCCTCACTTAGTGACGGATTCGTTTACCGACGTGGTCTTAGGAACAGAACTCCGTTGTTTAGTGCGGAGAGGCTGTATAAAGTACTGTTATCATGCTGGAAACAAAATATTTTTATTATTAAATATAAACACCATCGGTTTGGAATGTGCAAAGCCAGGACACCTTAATTATAAACAACGCACCTGAAAAAAAAAAGGGGGTTTGAAAAAAAGTCTTAGCATCGTCAGTGATGGTGAAGGTTGAGTCATCGTCGTCGTCGATGCCGACTACTGCTCCTTTCAGACGTACACAACCCCGGCGGGCGCCTCGTACATCTTCTCCTTAGACTGAATAGATATTTTTAAAACCATTATTTAATAAAATAGTAATTAACAAATACATACAGTGTCCCCAGCTTTTTCGTTAGTTCCCGGCTAAATCGTAAAAATTCGCCACTCATAGGGGTATTTTCGTTATATACCAAAACTTGGACTCGTTTTGTCAGAGGTTGACTTGCTGAGTCGTAGTTCATCACGGGGGACGTGTAACCCACGGCAGTGAGCCAGGGACTGGCAGGCCAGTTCTGGCATTGCTTTACAGTGAGCAAAGGTTCCCTAACAATGCTCCAGCCGAAAGATATTTTCATAATATTCCATTTATTGTAGTGCTTGCAAGTTACTAATAAGCTACCATGGCCAAAGAAAGCTCCTAGTGCCAAGCTCGTGGTAAATGAAGGTTGATAAATACGATTGGTGGATAATTTGGTAGGGTGTGCAAAGAAGAAAATTAAAGGTGAATACAGGAAAGAGTAAGAAAAAACAAAAAAACAAACCCCCCCCCCCCCCCAAAAATACAAAAATGGTTATGAGGTACAAAAGATTAGGTGATGAAAGATTGAATATCAGATTGGAGGTGAGTGAGAGTTTGAGGACGAGTGAATGGATTCAGATATTTGGGACAGTGGACGTGTCAGCGGATGGGTCTATGAAAAGATGAGGTGAATCATAGAATTGTGAGGGAAAAGAGTGAGTGGTGCACACTTTAGGGAGTCTTTGGAGACAACGAACTTTGTCTCTTGGAGGCAA